CTTTGGGCGTGTCAAAGGGGACCCCCCCAAAATGGCTGGAACAGAAGAGGTAGCTGTGGCTCAAAAAAAGTGGAACCAAAATTTCACCCTGGTAAATACAACCAAAGACTAAAACCCGCTTAACCCCAGCTCTTTAATTTTGAGCCATACCCAGGTACCAAAAACATGAACAATCCCATCCACCTGCATCACCTGTTGAAAGAACCTCAAGCGGTTTTTGTCTTGCCGAGGACCGGGGTTTGGTTTTCACTATTCATCACCCCGACACAACATGGAAACACCTACCAAGATGCCCGATAGGGTGTGTTGGAGACACTGACAGATATATTTAGGCCATTCAGTATGCGTACCCAAGAAGGTTGAATCCCCGAAAAAGGGATGTGTCTGGGGAAGCCAAAAGGAACCCAATCACTTTGAGGGATCAAATGTGCACCTGTCCTTCAACGGTCTCAGGAACGGGAAAGCAGGCAACCACATGGGTGTGGGTCAAACATAGGCACCCAACATGGAACCTGGTAAATGGAAACAAGGACTAAAGCCTCCTATCCGTATCCTAGAGGTTTAGTTTTGACCCATAGCACATGTTAACCGAAACAAAATTCAAACTGAAGCTGCAAGGTGCTTTTGGGATCTTTTGCGGGGTGTTCCCCAACCTCGCGCAAGATCACACCACAAAACCAAAGGCTCCGTGCGCACCTCCGAAAGGCGGGTGTGGTGTCAAAATGGGGGTCATGTTGATATCCGTAGAAACCAAGGGAACACTTAGATATGACACCAAAACAAAGAGAAGATCCTAAACAGTGAAACAAATACAATGACTTATATAATCATCTCTACAACCCATCCTCCAACAGGTGATTCCTTGTCAAACGGCCCAGGTACATCCATGTCACTTCTCACAGGAGGGAATTACTGGGCTCAAAACGGGTGAGCGGTGATTAATGAGCAAGGTGTCTCAATATGTTGATCGCTACTCAGTCTTGGAACTTCGTTTTTGTTGACTGGATCTCCTCCATTACCCCCCCCTTAGTACGGGCTTGGGGATGATCCAAACAAAAAGCTTGACCGATACATATGCCGCGTGTCTCGAATTTGTGCCGCACTCTTCTCAGAACTCCTGCGGTAATTACCCTTCCAAGCAGTCCACAAAAGGCAGATCCAACGCCTAAACCGGACTACGCGTTTGTGTCTCTGTGTGTCTGTTGTTTGGGATATCTTCCATAGTCCTAGCAGACCTCGCACTTGCAGCCAATTTCCTGGGTCCAAGCACCTGGGCAAGTATATCCTTGCGACATGTCAAGACGCCAAACAGCTCATATTGCCGCTGCTCTATGTTCATTTTGAGGACATTGAGACAACCCGTCCCCTTCCTTTCCACCGCGCAACCTGACTCAAAGCATCCATGACCATGCCAAGTGGACCCAAAAAATATGGTGTTTCGACTAAGAAATTCCTTTTCCCAAGGTTTTGTGGTACTTTTATGTACTTTGACTCATTTTGTTGAGCCACCTACGTACTTTATGGATGTGGCCAATCAAAAACACGCACAGACACAGACACGGACACAGACACAGACACAGACACACACGCAACATGCACTTCTTCCCAGCCGTTCTTATATAAAAACCGGGGGCCGGTGCTCCAACCAAGGCAGCCAACATGAACAGCGGCGGGCCGCGACTCCCGGGCCCTGAGGCAAAGGGGCTGGTGGTACTTCTGCAGCACCACCTCCGTGAAGTCTCCGCATTTCTGGCAGACGCCGGGGGTGAACTTTCCGCCCAAGGCCTTGGCCATGACGTAGGTCGGGAAGAGCTGCCACAGGCCTACCACGACGCGTGCATTGGGTGTGGCGTTGGGTGTGGTGCTGTTTTTTTCACGTTTGGAGGGTTTGAAACAGAAACCAGGCCTTTTAGGGGGAACACCAAAAGGAAACAGTTGCCATGGGCGCTGACAAACCCATTTCCAGACTGGTTCTCAAATTGGGTGTTTCGGTTGTGTTTGTTGCAAGGAAATCAAATTAACGGGGAAGAACGGGCGTCCCTTTTCTGGGTTGGAAAATTTTGAAACGGTCTCCTGGTACCCTAAAGGCCTAGCGACTGGTAGTGGATTCAGCTCCTGCATAGTAGGTAGCATGGATTTGTTCCAGCAGCAGGTGGAATTTTGGGAGGTTGAAACGGGGTGAAAGCACCTCAGAAAGTAGGAAACTCTTGGGGCCACGCAAAACCGACCTTGCTGCTTCAATTTTGTCTGGAAACAAAAAGCCGGTATGGACAATTTATACCCGATCCACTTAAATCCCAAAGGCCCAGATGGGACTTGACCCCCGTGGCGCACCCGTACGGACACTACAGCGCAAACACACGACAGGTATGGGAAGAAGGTTAGAGTGTTGACCATGCTGAACCATGTTGAAACGTAAATCACCAGATCGATCGGGTACCTTGATAAGAACAAGCAGGCTGAAACCCATATCCACCGGACCCAGCGCGGAGCCCGATGGCCGGGATTGGCTCCCTGAATCGTACAGCGTCAAACGATGGCCCGTTCCCCTTGTAATTGTAGTCTCCTGTTCGGGAACTTCCAGACACAGGCTAAATCGGGGCCTAAAACAACATGTACTCCTAGGATGACTTAATTTGGCTTCAAAGTACCCAAAAATTGTCAAGTGATAAAGTTCCCCACCCCATTCTAATTATCTTCCCAACAACATCCCCAAACCGCACCAAAACACCAACTAAGGGTACTGTAACACCAACTAAAGGTTATTTTGCATGGGGTGACCATTCAAACTTTCACCACATGGGAAAAGCGATGGCCATTCTGCGGAAGGGAATATTGACTTCAACGCCCATTTCTCATGCCCCGAGAGTTCCCGAGTTGGCCTCGATGCGTTCCTTCCATGTGCACCTCCGAGGGGTTGAAGCTATTGCCGCCCTCCGAGCGCCACAAAGCCTTCGCCAAGCCCTCCTGGGTCGATTCGGGTCGATCGATCGGACACGCGGATCGGGATGGCGTCCGGGGTACCCTCCCAACATGGAAGTGCATAGACCCATGTGGAAAGACGACTTTCCTCTTGGCAAGAGGCTTTGTAAACTTCTACGCTGGTTGATGGGAGCGTACACCCAAAAAAAACATCAGATGGATGTGAATGTTGACCCTTGAGAAAAAGGACTTTCAGATGCGAGTTTTAAGACTCTCAGAATATTAAATGGTGGGCATGTATGTCCCCTCAGTTGTGAGGGTCCTTGTTGAACTCATAGCCACTTTCCAGGCCATGGATTTCTGCATAGCCATGGCCCTAAAAACAATTCAGCAAACCAGATGGACACTTGCGTGGTTCAGATTATGTTTTTCAACCACTCCAAATGTATTAGTGTTTTCTTGAATTTTCCTGGGTCAAATGTTTAACATGGCTTGTGTCTTGTGTGGGAGTTCGCCAACCTTCAAATATGAAGGTAAAAGCTGTGAGCCCTGAACCAGCCTTTCTGTGGTAAGTAGACCATTCCTATTAACTAGTGGTCACTCTATAGTAAAAGCACTTCCTTGGTAGACAAAAGCTACACCGTCACTCAACAATAACTTGCAGATCTGGCACACGATCGGCTGTGTCCGACCGGCTCAACTCGGATACCCAGAGAGGTTTTCCTTGATGGAGGGTTGGGACAACCCTGGCGGAGTTGTGGGAAATGGCCCCCCCCCCCGCTTCTGCGATACCATCGGGTATAGCAGCCTTCCCAATGGACCACGGACCACCCCTCGTCCGCGAGTAGCCTGACTGTAGACCATGGACCACCCCAATAAGTACCCTTTTTGTGGAGGTACTTGGGCCCCAAGTCCCAAAAAGCAAATCCCAAAGGGAAAAGAAAAACAGGGGCCCATTCAAATGGCCCCAAACTCACCCGTCAAACCGTGGTTCCCGGCATGTCCCTGCCAAGGGACCTCTGATAAATACTGGGAGATTTGATGGACCCAGTCAAAAGGCCTGTTTTCTTCGACAACAAAGGGGTATGTAACCCCAAACACCCCCCCGCGACCCCCCCTTGTCGACCGCCGATGCGCCCATGTCCGAGCCGAGCCGAGCAACGTCTAGGTACTGCACCCAGGTGTGGCGCAAGGCCCGCGCTTTGGGCTCCGTGCGGTTCGAGCCGCCTGGCCGAGGCCCGTGGCGCATGGCAGGCGCGTGGCATGCGTGGCGCGTGGCTGGTGGGGGTTGGGGTTCCCCTCCGAAAGTGGGCTGGCTGATTCCCAGGAAAGCCAGGGGCGTTTTATGGCGATTTGTAGTGATATTGCTGATGTAGCTTGTAGCTTGTAATGATTCTCCAAATGATTAATTTGAACCAATGTCAATTGAACATGTAGAGAAGCACCCCCCTGGTAATAAACTGGGGTTGATCAATATGGGGTGAACATTATCAGACTTTTAAGGCTAGCCCATTGACCAAGCTGAGGCGGCTTGGGCGCCCTTTGGCTTAAAAATACAAGGCTAAAGGAAATCCCTGCACATCACAAGGTGATGTTGAAACGAGCTGAGAAGGGAAATACCCCTGATAGATGGAACTGGCAAATGAGCGCCAAACTGAACCCAAACAAACAAAGTGGATTGAAAGGACACCTATGGTTCTACATGCTTGTTTATTACGCAAATATTCTTCCCAACGAGTAGAAAGTCCAACAAGCAATAACTCATACCTCACTTCCAGGAAAGCCACCTGTTCTTTGAGGCCACAATATGTTAAGCAAACCATGTAAACTTCGGGGTGGCAATTGCAAGCATCTCTGATGGAAAGCCTTCCCAATGTCATCGGGATGAGCCCTGGTATCACAGAAGTAGGAACAAACCTCTCATCTCCAGTGGGTGCAAAGGGACCCCCAAACGGGTTGGCCCGAATAATATTAGAAGTACATATTTGTGTCTTGTTAATAATCATGGAAGCTCCCACACCATCACAGGCTCCAGATTCACAATCATGTATATGTATAATATATGTATATATATGTATATGTATATTATGTAACTGCACAATCAACAAGCTTTACAACACATGCCATGCTGTCATTCCCCAGGGAACAAAGGTCCTTCCAACATGCTTTCAACAATGAACCATATTGATGTCAAAATCCCGCAATCATGCGGTTGTATTCTCGCTGTGTAATAAGCATGATAGGATATTCGGCCTCTTCGCAACTTGTTGAGGTCGGTCACAAACTCTGCATGCCAATAGTGATAGCATGCAGCTGAAGCACTTTGCAAAGGCCAATCTCAGTTCTCTCAAAGCTAGAATCCAAATGATGATCCAACTGGAGACGGGCCACAAGCAAAGACATAGAAAGGTTGGTCGGGAATTCTGCTTTGTCAATAGAAGCCCGGAAGCCCGTAGCTCAACCTGTGAAAAGTTGAGCCACAATCACTTGCGCTGGGTACGTGAAGCAACGAACAAGAGCCCCAGGTGCCATCCCCGCCTAGCGCCGCCGCAGCCTCCGCCTGTGCCGCAAAGTCCTCGTGCTCGAAGGGCGTGCCCAGACTCCTGCCAAGAAAGATTCTAGGGGTACCTTCCATTTCCCTCTAGCCCCCTGGGAAAATCGATGTGCAATAGTTCTAGGGGTACCTTCCAACTTGGCTGGAATTAGGACCTCAGCAAAAAATATAATTTCTGCCTGGTTAGTGGAAAACAAAGGGGACCCCAAAGAACAAACAAATAGAAACGGAGAGATGGTAAAAAGCCAACTACAACTCTGTAAGGGCTTCTTGGTTCCTTGTGAGGATGTACGTTTTTGCTGGCTGAATCAAGACATCCTCAAAAGGCGCTTGGACTTGTGGTTTCACATGGACGGGACTCCCTGGGAGTCCCTGCTTGGGGTCCTTGCTGGTACCTCGAGACCGGGGGGACTCCTACTAAATCTAACAATAATAGCAATCATAATAATCAGAATCATATGCATTATTTATATGTATATACTTACAAAAGCAAAGGGCAAGGGGCAAGAACCCGCTGTTTTCCCCCGCCCCCCTTTCGCCCCCCCCGGAACCCCCCGCAATTCCGCCTGGTCGCCAGGAGCCTCAGCAGCTGCGCGGCCTCTGCGAAGGCATGGGGCAGCGGGTCGATGGCCTCCGCGGCCAGTTGGAGGCCTCCGATGAGTTGGTTCACCGCCTCATAGACCAAGTGGTACCTTAGCAGGGATCCTTACATAGACCTGAACATTGCAACTTGTAAATGGTGGCTTCCCTTTTCATTTTGGTGGAAAAAGCAATGTTTCAAATGGGCAAAATGTATCTTTTAAGGAGCCCTGCTTAGGAAGGCATGTTTTTTGGTAGCGGGGGGGTCAAGGGGGTTTGGCTTTTTGACCTAGACCAAGTGGTACCTCAGGTTAAGGTTTTCGTTTTGGGCAGGTGGGGGGGAGGGGGGTCAAGGGGTACAGGTCTTCGTTTTGGGCAGGTGGGGGGGTCAAGGGGGGTACCTCAGGTTAAGGTGTTCCTTTTTGGCAAATGCAGGTGACGTTTTGGGGGGTTTGGTTAGGGACAGTTGCCCACATAAGGCAGCTTGTTGACCTCATAGACCAAGTGGTATACCTTAGAAGGTCCTTTTTTTGGCAGGTGGGGGCTCAAGTTTTGGCCCCAAAAGTTCACAAGGGACAGGTTTGGGGCCCCAAAGTTCAAATAAAGGGGGTAACGGGGGCCCCGGTTCACAAGGGACAGTTGCCCAGTCTTTGGGTTTTGACCTTCCGTTTTTGGTTGAACCAATGGGGGACCAAGTGGCACCTCACCAGCACCCAGCAGTAACCGATAGGGATTCAGGAAGTTCGCCCAACCCCGGTCAACCACTTTGGCAAACTTCCCGTGCCATTTCCGCGCACCCCTTTTTGGGGACCACGTGGAAGGATGCATACCCTGTTGCCCTAAAAGCGATCAAGCACCTCAGACGCGTATTCCCCAAATGGTCTGTGTGTGTGTGTGAAACGGGGGTTCCTTCAGGTCTTCCCATGAAATAGTTGTGTGTTGACCACAAATAGTTCCCTTTCCGTTGATTGGCGATGCTCAGCACAAAGAGTCAGCGATTGACTTTGAAAACCACGGCCTTCCAAATACGAATGCACAGTTGTGTTTTCATTTTGACTCCCGTGCTGGTTGTTAAAAAAAAAAAAATGGATCCACCAACAAAAAATAAACTGCCTCTGCTCAGCCTCACTATTTGTGGCTGGTGTGGGCTTTTCTTGCCCGTGGCCAACAAAAGAAGGGAAATTGAGGCCCCCACCCGATATGGTCAAACTTACATGGCCATGACCTGACATCCACCTACCTGCATGGGGGGGCATTCAGGTGGGGGTTCAGCAACTCCATTTTTCTAGTCTGCCCTATATACCATAGGGAAAATGGAATGACAAATGGAATTCTCGGGGTCACCCCGAAAAAAATCGGAAGCCTTACGATCCAACCACAACAACCAGGCAACATATGCGCCGACATGGCCACCCCTGATTCTGGTTGCCAACCACTGTCAACCCCCAACCCCCAAAGTTTGTGTTTAATTTGAGCTTTCTGTGAGAGTAATACATGGAGCCTTCACAAGTCTACAACTGTGTAGAAACCTGCAAAGAGAGGAGGTCCAACCTTATGTTCAACCCAATTTCAAAGGCGTTCAATTGACAACAGGGACAAATGCAAAACAAAACTACCTTCTTCACCTCTCACGCGATGCAGGAGCATGTGCGCGCGGCCGGCAATGTTGGCAATGAGCGGTTTTGGGGGGCCCCGGATCCTGGCACCGCCAACTGGATCCCCCGTGATTGGAATGAAGGATAAGGACAATCAACATGTTCAGTTCTCAGACACCCCCCAAGGGCTATTCCCGATTTGGTTCCACCGCTGTTCCTTTCCAAAAGCAGCCTTTTCTGCTATTTAGTGGTTTTGTGGACAGATGCATCTCTAGAAACACTGCAAAGTCACCGACCTATGGGCAGAAGTGGCAGACTTTCGATTACGCAAAGTAGACATGTGGGGGAGGGGGGGGGGGGTGAAAAAGTTACCATTTTTGTTGACCCTGGTGCGAAAGCCTTTCCACGCCGTAGGAGGATACCAAGAAAGGACCTCCATTAAATTTTGAAAACAGCCCATGCAACAAGTGGCCCCATGATTTTACCATCATCAAAGTCACCCTGTCAACGGCAAAGGGAAATGCCCCCATGTTCTGCCTTTGACAACCCCTAGACACCGTCAAATTCACTGACCCGCTGCAAAAGCTAAAACTTTTCGCTGCGAAGGGCGAATGATGGCACACCAAACCGGCCAAAGGGTCCAAAAACGTTCAGCTCAGTCTGGCGCCTGAACTGCGCAAAAAGAACTCCAAGCTGATCCGAGCCGCTCCTGGACCGGGTCTTTCCCCTCCGCGCCGCTTTCGCTGCGCGAAAGCAGCACCTCCCGAGCGCGCCGGAAGTAGCCCGGCCAGCGCCGCAGCGCCTCGGAGGGATGGCCCAAAGCCACTTGGAGGTCACTTGGCAAAGCAGTTCATGGAAATGCATTGGGGGTGGTTCTTCTAGTTGCCCAGGTGGTGGTGGCTTCTTCTAGTTGCACAGGTGAAAAGGGTATCCGGAAGAAAAGAAGAGAGGCGCCCGGCACCCTCAAATGTTCAGAGACCCAATCGAGCCTTACTTCGAAGCTGGCGACCAAATTGCCAAGGGTGCACCTGCAACGCGTGTCAAGTTCGGGGAAATACGGCCAAAGGCACCAAAAGTGCAGCCAACCGCTCCATTAGAGTTCGGGCCTTGTGAAATACATATGTTGCTATTTCACGTCTTGTCCGCGTACCGAATGTACTGGTAAAAATGCCACAGAAAGTGGGTTCATTGTTTGATCGCCCCAAGGTAGGCTAAAGCTCAGGGGTGGTTCATTTCACCAAAACCAAAAAACACTGGTTTTGAGTCCACCTTTGCGAAATCATCAAAGAAGAACCTGACCCGGCAAAAGGCTTTATGCCAGCTCAAGGAGGGTTGCTCGAAAGACCCCGATTCCTGTCCCAGAAGGGTTCCTTAGTACTTTGTCATGGATTTCATTTGACCAAGTCTAACCCCAAGTGCCCGACCATCATGGAAGTGTGCAGGGTACACCTTCAGGTACCAACATTTTTGGGTCGTCTTCCCAGACCTGTGGCCACGACATCCTTGGGCACAGGGCACCAGGTTCCACCTCTTTCATTTGGTTGAAACCCCTGGGAGAAAAAAAACAAAACATATTTCCAGTAGTGAGAGATTCCCTTCACAACCAAGAGGGGAAAACAAAAAAAACAAATATTATTATAAGAAAATGGAAGACCTGATCCCCGCTTTACTCTCAAAGGAAACTCGGCGCCCCCGCCTCACGCTGCAGAAAGTCCCCGGTGCCGGACCGACTCTGGCGCTCCGGTGCCTGGCAGCTGCCCGGAAGCGAACAAAATAATCGGCCACCGTCGTTTTGTGCATACTTCTGCAGATGGTCTACATGTCTTTCAACTCTGGGCCTGGCTTTTTGGTGAATTTTTGGGGCCTTATTCCTTCTTCTAGGAGATTCATGTCCACCAACCCACAGTGGAGGGATTCCCCCCCTAATGTTGACCCAGGACTAATAAACCAGTCCCGTTGTTAGGGGGGTGTTCCCTCCAAGAATGGTCTGATTCCCCACTAAAAGGGGACACCCCCCCATTCATCAACCAGAGAGTTGATTCATCCGGGGTCAACATTACATGTCTTTCAACCGCGGCCATGTTTTTTTGTGATTGCTTGCTTTATTCCTGCTTTACTTACTTTGTGTTATTTTGTTGTGGTGTTTTGCTCCTTCTTGCATATTGGTTGGGGAGCTTACTGGCCTCACAATTCGACAATTACCAAAACCACGCTGAAAGTGCTAAGGGAAATAAACTCAGGTTCTTTCTCAGATGACCCCCACAGTGCGAATGCTTCCCACCCCAAAAAGCTTCCCAAGGGGAGGTTGTTTTTGTCACGATAGTTGTTTGGGACTCCCTGCTAGTCTGAAGGGTTAGGTTGAAGGGTTGAAGTGAGGCACACACCACGTGGTTTACAATCATGCATGGCCCTTTAAACATGGGGTCATAGACCCAAGATCAAGTCACTGCGTCTCTTTTTAAGGGCCAAGAAACCAAACATCTTAGCGTCTAGCTCACACAGACCGAGCAAGCTAGGGTTCCACACCTCTTGCGCATTTCCAGGAACCGTACACCCACAAAAGACTCCCCTTTAACGGCCTTTGGTTGGCCTGATGTTGCTAAAATAAGGCGTCTTAACCCAGTTGGGCTTTTGGGGTCCTTTTGGGGGTCTTTGCTCGGATTGGTAGGGTCCCTACGGGTGTGCACACTCCAGGCGGTGCCCTTTGCTTTTGGAATGAAGGTCTGAACCGTTGACGTCCCCGAGGACAGGGTTTCTCCAAAGACACTGGCACGACATTTAGCTACAATAAAGGAGACAAGGAAAGAAAGCGTCTAGTAATGTTGACCACACATCAATCAACCCCAGTTTGTTAATAGGGGTTGGGAGCCAGTGGAGGCCCCTCCAAAAGTGATGATTCCCCACTAAACCCTGGAACACCCCTCCATTAGTAAGCTGGGGCTGATAAATATGGGGTCAACATGACTAGACTGTTTCCTTAGATCTCCCTCTGATCGAGGCTAAATGTTTACGTGCCAGGGTAAGTATTTGGTCTTTTGTTGGGCACGCAACATGTTGGGTCGAACATTCCCGCCTTCGCCTTGGCCACGGACTCCACGGACTCCGGTGAATCTGCCTACCGCGAATCGAAGGCGCGGTGACTCGCAGGTTAAAGCCCCTGCAAACTTACATGGAACCCGAGCCCCCCCCCCCACAGCTTCAACGCAGTGCTCTCCCAAGCAAGGACCTGTTGTAAAGCAGGCTTCATTTGAAGGAACCCATTCATTGGGTTCCATGTGAATGTAATGTGGGCGCTAAATTAAAAAACCACCCGAAAGTGGGTTCGAATCAAAACAATGGGACCTTCCCAGAAATAGGTTGGTTGCATGTCGGCCGCCCTTTGCAAACTTTCCAACACGAAGGTCGTGGAGGAAAAAACGTCACGGGGAATTCCTGAGTTGCAAGTACCCTCCCCGAGGCCTTCATGTACGTCTGGGAAGGGGATGTACTGACATGGCAGGACCCCCAACATTGTGGTTGTTCTGCTGCGCTTGGTCGGCTTCCCTTTAATCCAGTCTGCAAAGGGCAGAAAGAACAAGCACGTCGGGGCGGCTCCCGCGCACAGCAAAGAACCGTCCCATTTTTGGGTCCAGGGCTCAAGATGTGCACACTCAAGGCGGTGTTCTTTTGGGCTTTCGAAATGAAGGCCTGAACCGTCGATGTCTGAGGGCGATTCAAGGTCATACAGGGTTTCTCCAAAGACGACAACAACAGTGCGGTAACAGGAGCCAGGTCTGGATGTTGGGCCCATGTCGCGCAGCCAAAATCCCTGCTCTAGCTGCCTCCAGTCAAGCTTGGAAGACCCAGGCCGAGACCTTTGAGGAAGGGGCCCCAAAAACCGACCAAATTTCCCCCTGAAGCCGATCCAGCTACGGCCAAACCCTTTAGTTAAAACCTGTCAAATTCCCGTCTACAAAGTCAACTTCCCATCTAGGCCAATCAAATCCCCTCTAAAGTCCGGCCAGATCCTGCTAGAAACTCTCAACGCCGATCCAGCTTGAAACGGTCAAATTCCCCTCCAGAGACCATCAAATCCCCCCAAGACAGTAGAAACCGATCAAGCTCCCCTCTAGAAACCTGTGAACCCCCTCCGGTCAAATCGTGCCAGAAACCCATCAAAATGTCCCCCCTGAAGCCAGCAAAATTCCCTACCTTCGCTTGGCCCACCCTCTACGCTGGAAACCACCAGCTCACGCATTTCGGCGCCGACTCAGCACGGTGTATCCCTCAAAGCCAGCCAAAAGCGGACTGGCCGAGGCGGGCAACGCGAAGCGTTTACAATTAATCAGCCCCAGTTTATTCATGGGGGTGTCCCTGGTTTAGTGGGGAATCATCACTCTTGGCGGGGCACCCACCGCCTATTGACAAACTGGGGTTGATTAATATGGGGTCAACATTAAGTATTTAGGGTTTCCTTGTAGGACCAACTCTGAGGAAACAACATGTTGGGTTTTTCACATCTCACTCGCCTCTGACTTGGCCACGGACTCCGGCGAATCTGCCTGCCGCGAATCAAAGGCGCGGAAGCTTCAACGCGTGAAACTCGGCAGCTTGAAGCCCCTGCAAAGTCACATGGAAACCAAGGACCCCCAAAATAGCTTCGTCTCATGGCATGGTTTCCCCGTTAATTGGACAGGACAAGTGGGGCAAGTAGCTTGGATTTCGGGCGCTGGGCCGACGAAGTGTTCTCCCAAGCAAAGACCTATTTGTAAAGCAGCCTCCTTTTGAAGGAACCTCATTGGGTTCCATGTGAATGTAGGGACTAAATTCAAACACCACCCTAAGGTTCGAATCTGGAAAACAATTGGATCTTCCCGGAAATAGGTTGGTTACATGTTGGCTGCCTTTTGCAAACGGGCGCGAAGGGGGGTCAAACAGCTAAATGCACCGGACTCCTTACACGACGCTCGTGGAGGAAAAGAAGCCACGGTGAATTTCTGAATTGCAAGTACCCTCGAGGGTTCCGCAAGGGTTCCAGTAGGACTTACCGTTGTGATGTGTTTTTTCCGGATGCGCAAACCCACACGGGCATGTTGCTATTCTCTGGCTGGTGGGGGGTTGTCTCCTTGTGGGTTCCCATGAAATCGTCCAATATGGGAGGCTTGTATGTTGCCGCTACACTACAGGTGCCCCCAGCCCATCAATCCACCCACGATTTTTTCTGGCAAACTGAATTCTGGCAAAGCCACAAAACCATGGCGAGCTATGACAATTTTAGCTCAGTGGTTAGAGCGATGATCCTATGAGCCATAGGTCGCGGGTTCAATTGGTATGAATGTTGAGAAACTATGGGCGTCCTCCAACGCAAAATCCGCAGCTCATATTACATTGCAGCTGCCACATCCTTCAAGCACTCACAGTCCTTAAATCTGAAAGCCGGCAAAAGCCAGCAATCCACAGATCTCATGCTACCGCACTCCATAGAAAAAAATGCATAATGTTTAGGGAGCACTCTCCAACAAAAAGGGAAAACGACCCACGAAAGGCCTTTGAGACAGGTTTGGGACGGCAGCAGATTTACATTCCGTCTAAAGTGAACTATGAACCTCCCAAATTCACAAATGCAACCAGGGTCACCGCTGAAAGCCTGGGGGACCAAGGTGGGGCCATTCCTCAACAACTGGGATACATTCCGGTCTAAAATGACCCCCAAACTCATTGATGTTGACGGACAATCCCTCCAAAGAAGGAAACATTTGGGGAAATCCACCGCATGGAGTCCAGCCTTGGACCGCACAGACTCCACCAACGCCGCCACCTCCGCCGAAAGCAGTGGAGCTGCGGTGTCCGGCTTACAGCATCGCTCTCGAGTGAACACGGCCTGCACGCACGGGAAGGGGAAACCCTTCTCTTCTGTGCTTTCTTCGGGGGGGGGGGGTTGGGGTTGGGCGGTAAGAAAGGGTTGTAGAGAAGGTTTGGTGAGTGCCACAGGATTTGGGGGGCGTCATTTTGCCAAGGTGCCTTTGAAGTAGTGTTGCCCGAAAGTGGATCACTCCTGAAAATCCAAGGTTCCATGCAAAAGGAAGGAGGCCAATCGGACCGTTCGCCCCCGAAGATGTTTTCTCCTAGGTTCCGAGTAACTTGGGATGTACTGTGAGAGGCTTTGAGTGGCTTGAAGTAAGTTCCTGCTGCCTAGTTTCATCCTTCTAGTTCCATCCGTAGGGGTAACTTTGCTGAGGCCTGCGGAGCCTGATCAGATTTGCCAGGCTTTGTGTTTTGTCGAACCATCTCGTTGCGTTGAAGCACAAGATCCAATTCCAACCAACAAACAGAGACCATGCTTCATTACAAGCCTCATGTCCCCTTGGAACTCTCAAAGTCTAGGTCACGCTTACCAAACCTGGTTTAAAAAAACCGGTTTCGGTCTGGAACAGCAACCAAACCGGCCACTGGAGGCCTGAGAGGGAGGTTTGGGACCCATTCGCTCCAAAAGTTGGGCAATCTCACTTTCATTTTAAAGGGACACCCCCGCCAAAGCAGGGAAAAAAGGACGCGACCCACAGGTTGGGAATGAACCTCAACTGATAACCAGATTCTAAAAGCATCCAGGGCACATCCCAGCAGCCTGCCGATCGCTTCGCTCCACAGCACCTCAAAGCCGGAGGATTCGAATCGTGGGCTTGGGGAAACCGACCATTTTGGATTTTAGGGGTCGGGGGTATCCTCTCATCATGGACCTCCAAGGGTGGCTATGGGGAGGGGGGCTGTTCCTTATTAAGCCCTTAACAAGGCCTTATTAAGGGCTTATCCTTGGGTTATCCTGGGCTTATCCAGGGATAGCCCCCCCCCCATAGCCCCCCCAAAGATTCCATGATCTCAGGGTTTGCATTTAAGAAGAGTCGAGAGTCCTGGAGCATGGACTTTACCGGCTCCCAGGGGCCGTACTACGGTGCCCCAATTCTTCTTCTTGTTAGAAAAATTCAGGGGAAGCGCCCACGTGGGGGGGGCTACTTCTGAGGTACCCCCGGCACCCCCGTGTTCTTGATCCCTTAAACTTGGGTTGCGTTTTGCGGGTGTCTCAAAATGACCTTTGGGGGTGGTTTCCGTTTAAAGGACGGCCCTAGATCGAGCAATGTTTGTGGGAATTTATCCTGCTTCTGAGTTCAGCTTCGGATTGTCGCTGTCAGGGTTTCCTATCGCAATGCGTCAAAGAAGGTGGATTAGTCGAAACCGACATCAACATGAAACCCATTCGGGGTGGTTCGACACAGACTGCCTGACGAAAGCAGGCCCCTTTCTGAGATCTAGGCCGGCCAATCTGTAAATTCCACAAAGCCCCACACCACAAAACCACGAACAAAGCTGCTGTGGATCATGATCATTGCTTCCATTCATTGGAATCCCGACAAGGCAGTCTAAATTTTCTACGGGGTCCATGACCCTTCAGTCCATACTGGAGGCCATACCACCCCAAGTAAGCAGGTCTTTTGACCATGGCGCTTTTCAGGACCCTAGCCTCACAGAAACCAGCTGAACATGACATGGGATTTCCAAACACCAGCCTGTAGCAACTATGTGTAAGTATTTTTGCTACTTTCCTAATCACAAAGAGAAACCAGGGCACTCACTCAAGTTTCCCAATTCCTCTTGTCTCACTTCCTGAGTGCATTGGACAAACAAAGTCCGAACTTGTTTGTTTGCCACTAAAAACGGTCTTTCCAATAAGTATTTAGAGTCCAGGAACTCAGGGAGTGAGTCTGGGTCCTCCAGTAGAGAGGTTGGAAACAAGGGTACCCTTTTTTCTTAGTCTATTTTAGTAGGGGAACCCTCCCCCCAACAAAAGAAGCGGTAAAAGGGCACTACTGGGGGACCCAGGGGTCGCTTCGCTTTCTTGGCCTCGGCGCATCTCCGGTGTGAAGCCGTCCCGCCAGCAGTCCGCCAGCGCCGCGTGCGACTCCGCCGCCGCCGCGATGGCCGAGGCCGCAGCCGCCGCCGCCACCGCGGCGCCGGAGCCGCCGGAAGCGGCGCCGGAAGCGGCGCGGGGCGTGGGCGGCGGCGCGGCCCTAGCAGAGGTGTCCTTTTGGGGGAAATAGATGGCCCTGGTAGATGATTAAACCACCAGGTCAACCAGGAATCGACATCTATTTTTTCTACCAAAACAACCAAAGAGGACACATATGGCCCCTAGGCTTAGGCGGCGCCCTGGCGAAAGGAGCCGTGCGCTGTGTGGGACAGCTGAACCCACCAAACGCCATGCAAACCATGGGAGGGGAGCGCTTGGGTGAGTCGCACAAGTTTCCTGAAGGCGTGCTGGACGGAAAACAGGACAAGCGAGAATGGTTTAGAAGGTAGCTGGAAAGTAGCCCTTCTTGTAAGGGCTTACAGAGATGGTCCACTGGGGAGGTGACCATCGCGGACCAGTAGGGTCTGGGGTGGACCCTCTGTCTGAAGCACCGCAGGCGAACCGACAGGCTGCCTGGACGGCTCCTCAGGCAGCTGCTCTGGCCTGGCACGGACGTTGGTAGGAAACGAGAAAAACCCTAGTGCAGGGACCCCCCACAGCTGTCAAATGGCCCAAACAAGCAACCACAGGAGGCCACACAACAAGCCATTTGCTAGCTTTTGGGGGGTCCTGAACGTTACTGTACCTGTAAGGGCTCCTATCACTTTGTCTGGGGTGAGAATCTGGGTGGGTGGGCTTGCACTTCTGATCATTGACGGTGGACGATAAGGGTTTTACACTAACTGCCAAAATGATCTGCTAAGGTCGAAGGGACGACCCAAGGGTAGGTAGGGTTCCAAGATGACACCAGCCGAAAACCTACCATTTCAGAGATCGGTTCTGTAGGGTACCTGTGACGAGGCTGTAGGCTGCAACTTGCTCAATTTGTGTCCGTTTGTGGCCGACAAAGGGCGGGCTGGATGCACTCTGGCCCTTTGTCCAAACATCATCTTACCTACAACAACGATACCCTTAGAAAAGGGATGTCCCGCTTTGAAATACACAACGCTCGCCTACAAGAGGGGCGAATGACATCGACCATTTGGTGTGTGTGTGTGTGTGCCAGTGTGAATTGGCAACTGGGCTGGAGAAAACCCTCCAACATGGGCATCCAAGTGAGCATTTCTTAAGGTTCTGGGCTTCACTGCTGTGCCTTTCGGGAATTCCACCCTCAAACGTCCATCATTTCACACACAAACAAAAATGCTGTCAATTCTGCCAAAGGTAGGTGACTGTCAATTCCGCTTGCCGGGTTCCTGCCTTCCCTGGGTCACTCGTGGCAATGGGCCGGAGACGCGTCTCCGAGCCGCCGAGCGCGGAAGGCCGCGCCTTCCGGCGATCCCCGGCTCCCAGGTGGACAAGGCGTCCGCGGCGGCGCGGAGCTCGGCGCTGCTTCGCGCCACGGCGAGCCTGGCCGGGAGGGGGGAGAAAGGGAAATATGGACCCACGGGTTCCCTGCAAAAACAACGTGTTTAACAGCAACAGAAAACATAAATAAATAACACACACGGAAAAAAGAAAGAAAAAAAAACAAAAAAACAAAAACAGACACACAAAGACAAAAGAGAAAGAAACAAACAAAGAAACAAAGAAACAACCTAAGGAACAAACAAGCAAGCAAACAAACAACAAACAAGCAGAAACCAAATACTCACACACACACATACATAAGCAAACCCAAACATGCATACACGAGGACGGGTGTGCCTGTTTTGCGGGTCCCATTTTGGGCAAACCGGAAGCCATCTTTTTGTTGCCCGTATTGTGGTTCTCAGTAGGGTTGAGGGATTCACCCCAAACTGACCCTTCCAACCGGTTTCCCTTGAGGGGATCCACGTGCGCTTCACTTCCAACACCGGTACTGGTGATTCTTATGATTTGCTACCGAGAACCAGCAAAAAGGTCCCGAAATAGCCAAAATGACCCGTACGGAACGCACCCTGGACCCATACCCATGTTCAACACGTGAGCATCTAATGGGCCTGGCTTCCCTTGGTTTTGACTTTCTCCCTCGAAATCTGCAGGGTAAAAGTACCCCAGGGGCTGCTGGACATTCCTCAGCTACTCTTGCACCTGGCTGCTGTCTCAGCCGAAGGTTGGATTACCCACTCAAAACAGCTCCAGATTCCAAAATGCCTGCGAAAAGTTTCAGTCTTTTTGGGGACGTGCGCTAACCTGTCGTTGGCCCCAAAAAGCCGTCAAATAGTTCTCTGTTGGCCTGGGACAACTCGACCAGGTCCTCACAAAACACTCAGCTACAACCCAGTGTTTGGATGATCCTGCTGCTTACCCCAAGCACACCTTTTCTTTTTTTGGGAATTCCCGCTGGGAAACCACTACAACAGGAAGCAAACTCTCATGCGAGGCAAGGATGCAGGATGGCCTTTGGACAGCGCAGCTAAACTCGGAAGCTTTCAGAAAAAGGTTAGTCTTTTGATTTTACAACCCCCACCCCACCCTGATGTCGGTGAGTAGAATCTCACTCTTCCCCGCCTCGCCAAGAAAAGCAGCAGCTTGCCCATGGCATCATGACGCACACGGATCTCACATGAATCTTTGAACAGCGAGTGAGGAAGGTGGGTGCGTGGGTTTGTTTCACAGGACCCCACAAAATGGCGGTTTTTTGCGCTTTGCTTCCAAGTGGGGGGACCCCTCAACATGGTGGGTCTCCATGAGGCCTACCTAAAACAACACAGCAACCACGGCAGCGTCTTACGCATGGTGCATGTCCTTCAGGTTCCGAAAGCCTCCGGCCTCCGGCCACGGAAGCTTCCAGGGCAGGCAAGGAGTAGCCGTTTAGTTGTTTGCCGTGCTTGTGGCTCCGCGACGAATCCGCGGCGTTCACGCCATTGCATGATGTCATACTCTATTGAAACACAACGGAAGAAGCCAAGATTCCCCAACCCCAAACCAAGACTCCTCTTGGTGTCTCTTTCCGTTGGATTTCCTTCTCTCATTCTAAGTGGATGCTTATGTGGTTGCACATCGCAATGTTACCCCCACGAAGCCAACCTTGTTCCAAACAAGCGGGTGATCAGTGGCAAGGTTGGGCCGACTCCTCAAAGAGATGCACAAAGTATCCCAAGAAAAGGACTACAACCAAATGCACATAAGGCCCCCCGTATAGTGAGGATCCTACATTCCCTAAAATAACCCCCAAGCCTTGACGTGTTGGTTAAAAGTTGTCTAAAGGATACGTTTGCGGCTCGGTTGGTACAGCATGCTAAGCGCCAACCAGCATATCCAAGCTTGAGCCACAGCTTCAGTACACACATCCGTCAAATGCGGATTCTGAACAAATAATCAATATCCGTCCCTTTCGGATACCCTATGTATAGGGGAAGCAGCAATTGTATGCTATATATATATATATGCTCTCCCTTCATGTTTATAATATATATATATATATATATATATGTATTATATTTATATATGCATATCTCGTATGTGGCACCTCGAGCACGTGGCTGCAAGACACCCAACAAATACCTTCAATTCCCTTGGGAAGGTAGTGCAGCTGCCACATAGTTGGTATCCCCAAGAAGCCCAAGGCATCTATCAGACCTCACCTAGATCCCGGCCACGAGGGATCTGAAAGCTTTCAGGCTTCCTCTCAAACCATCCAGGGCTCTGTGTTTGGCCATTCCCATCTGGTCAGGTCAATGTGCAGGCATGTTCGCAAGCAAAACCCAGGAGCTCTGTACCAACTTCCAATGGAAACGCTTTTCTTGGAAAGGCATTGTCTGCCAATGTGGAGTGAGAGTCGGGGGGGGTCCAGTTGGCCAGTTGCCCGTGCCGGGAGTGTCCAACTTCAGGAAACACTCGCATACATGTATCCGAACCCACCGCGCGCGCTTGTCTCCTTATTTGTGAGCCTGCGACGAGCCATGCGCCAGCGTGGGACCCCCCACTCCAACCGTTGCCAAGCTCAGCTTCTGCCCCCCGAATCAAAGACATCGCCCTGACAAGGATGAATAAGCCCAAACCGGTCTCCCTGGAGATAATTGTCCAATCGGTAGCCCACAAAGGACCTCCAACTATGATCGTTGTCATTCAACAGGGGATAAGATGTCTTTTGGGTGGATCTTGCCCCATCCTTCTCTTGATCGGACTCCCTGGGTATCTGCGTTAACCTTGGGGGCTGCTCAACTGGGACCTTTCCTTATCGCACCTCTCACCTCCTCCCTACCCCTTCCGCCCCCACCCCATTGGAGTTGATTCAGAATAAAGAAAAGTAAAACAGCCCCAAACGCCCGAAACAAGGAGCAAGAGCACCGCTGAAGGTCTGGGATCCTTCCGAACCTGAGCCAAGCTTCTGAGAACGCCTCGCTGATGCACATCCGCCTTCCGGAAGATGTCCTCGCTGGCCCCGAGCGAAAACACGGGTTCCCTTACAACTCCACTGAAATCCATGGATTGAATTCCATCCAAACCCCTGGCAAGTGCCTTGGTAGCTTTTGCGGGGTTTAAAATGGGGAGCAAAGTATCTAGGGACCTTGGTGACCCGGTGACCCCCTTTTTTCGGACTCTCAGGGATCTACTCAAAGAGGCTTGCACGGCTTACACGTGTACGGAGCGGTGCTCAAAAATATTGCAAGTGGAGCCAGGGAAGCCCCGAACCATTCTCTGGGCGAGCGTGGTTGCCACAGAAAAACGGGCCCCATCGGGAGAAGCTAAGTGCAAGGAGTTGTTTTTCGAGCCAGTGAGATCTGATGAATAACCCCTACAAATAAACCCCTGTTTATTAAGATGGGGGTGTCCCTGGTGTTAGTGGAGATTGTTCACTTTTAGAGGGGAACACCCCCGTAGTAATAAGCTGGGGTTGATGAACAGGGGGTCAACATTAGCCCCAAAACCTGGAACATGCGTGCCAGAAGGCCTCCATAGGGCCCGAGATTCTTTATTGTCGACCTGAGCGTGTTGAAATTTGTGCAGAGGATATCGTTGAGAGTGAAGCATACCATCTATTCTCAGGCCGGGATGCTACGCACTATAGGTGTAACTCTATGTAAGCGGGAATGTCGTTAGAGAAAAACAGCCTGTTGGAGAATGAGGGGTGTTCCTTCAATGAAAGGTCCTCACAAGAAAGGCAGGCGCCGCCAATGCATCAGGGGGCTCATTAATCCCAGGATTCCATCATTTCCAAAGTGTAAAAAACGCTCCAAGTAAGGGACCTACATGGTTTGTCTGAGCCCCACGCCGTAAGATAGGCGGATGCGGCTATGTTTTCTATATCTTACCTGCTCTTTTGGCCTTGGTTCGCAGGTCAGGTTCATTCCTGTTGACAGACAATGCAATGCAAGACGTCTCCCCAACTTTGGCCTGGGCCCTGAATGTTTTACACCCCAGGAACAGGTGCGAGCTCCCAAATGTCGGGGTTACTTGACCAGTGTGGTTTTGGTTCAACTTGCTCCACGTTCAACCGATGACCTAGGATTTAAATAATTTCTACCATGACCTCAGCAACTCTAAAGGGCAAGAACATATACGACATTCCTGAACGTTGACCCAATCAAACCAGCATGCAAGGTGTTCCCTGCAAAAAGGACACCCGCTGTTTGGCTGCTTCAAAAGGGAAAGCCGCCTTGGGCTGCTCTGAAATACAAAGGAAAAGCAAAGTGCACCCGCCGTAATTCATATAATGATTTAGAGCTAGTGAGGGAAGCCATTGACTTCCCATACCTCCATACCTCCTCTTGCTACAGCTCTGGAGTAAAAAGTGCTTCCCCCTTTAGACACTCATCTGAATCTGCTTCTGCTCCGCTTTCCTTCACCATCCCCACGTCCGCCGCATTCACGCCGCGCTTTGGGGAATCCATGGCGTCAGAAAGCAGATGGTGGGTTTACATGTGGTTTTTTCAAAAACGGGGGGACCCCCCAAAGGTAGCTTTCCTTTTGATCTCCCTTTCAACAGGTAACCATCAAGGATCAACACTAACCAGGACCCTAGAACTACAAATCCTGCGAAAGAACAACAAGCCGTCTCTTGGGAGGCTAATAATCGTAGTTAGTAGGTTTGACGGCTGCGGTTTCCGGAACACATGCATCACTTTTGTTTGACGGAGCAGCAGAAGCTTCGACAACCAGCATTCAATACAGCGCTGGCAAGATATTGAAGGCCCGTGGCAAAACATTGTTTCGAATAACACTCTGCTGTGTGTGTGTGTGTCTCTGTGTGGAGCATCTCAAGTTACAAACAACTGCACCTTACCTTTAGATTTACCTGACGGCTGCAACGGCAGAATCAGCCACCGTGAAACATGTGCTAATCTTCATGTTGGATCGAGTGCATGGCTCTACGTGTCGGTGGCGCTTACCGTTGACACTTCGAGAGGAAACATGACAAGCTGGAAGCATGAAGCGAGCTCCCTCAAGGGTCAGGTTCCATGCGCTTTCCTCATGGCACAGCTGAGCCAGGTGCGAACACGCCGGTGCAACGATGAATGTACAGTGATTTTGCATTTTGCATAAGCATGTCTTGATGAGGGCACTGTTTGGGGTTGTTTTGAAGAAAAATCCTCGGGCCCAAAATTGGAGACAGGTGTATATGTATCAAAACACCCTTGGCAAGACATACATGTTCTACCATTTCAGAGAGCTCCTTATCTTGAAACATTCCCTCTTGTGGGTGTGTCCTTCACATATCGGATTCCGTATAAAAGCAACCAAACAAGGGGCTTCTTATTTCACAGCCGTTTGGAAGCAATTTCATTCAACGCTAACGGATCAGTGTTCATCTGGATAAGCACGACACTTCACCAATAATCAAATGGGCTCCCTTTGACTGCAATTGAATTTTAGGTTGCCATTGTTTGCGAAATCACTCTTGAAAGTGAGACAGCAATCAAAGGGATGGCCCAGGTCGGCATCCCAGAACGGGTAGTATACAGGTCCTACCATTTCAGAGAGCTCCTTATCTTGAAACATTCCCTCTTGTGGGTGTGTCCTTCACATATCGGATTCCGTATAAAAGCAACCAAACAAGGGGCTTCTTATTTCACAGCCGTTTGGAAGCAATTTCATTCAACGCTAACGGATCAGTGTTCATCTGGATAAGCACGACACTTCACCAATAATCAAATGGGCTCCCTTTGACTGCAATTGAAATTTGAAAGTAAGAAAGCAATCAAAGGGATGGCCCAGGTCGGCATCCCAGAACGGGTAGTATACAGGTCCTACCATTTCAGAGAGCTCCTTATCTTGAAACATTCCCTCTTGTGGGTGTGTCCTTCACATATCGGATTCCGTATAAAAGCAACCAAACAAGGGGCTTCTTATTTCACAGCCGTTTGGAAGCAATTTCATTCAACGCTAACGGATCAGTGTTCATCTGGATAAGCACGACACTTCACCAATAATCAAATGGGCTCCCTTTGACTGCAATTGAATTTTAGGTTGCCATTGTTTGCGAAATCACTCTTGAAAGTGAGACAGCAATCGTAGGGATGGCCCACTTCAGCATCACGGAACGAGTAGTTTTCCGCAACCTTGGTTCGTGGCATGGATTGGCCAAATAGGCAATGTCGAAAACAACCAAAAGGAGAACTATGGGGAGCCCTATGGGCGCAGGGTTCCTTGGCCAGACTAAGACCCCCGAAAACAGCTCGTTTGTTGCTAGCTGCACCAATCCCAAAAGGGGATGCAGTGCAAAGGTGTTTCCAGGAGCTGCATCTTTCGGTCCCAGAATCTCCCTCTTGGGGAAAGAAGGGAACCTGTTCTTGGTTTTTTGATGTTAAAAAGGTCCTCCTTCCAAAGAGTTGAACAGGGGAAGCAACCCAAGTGTTTAGGGCCTCCCTGTTTGGAGTGAAGTTGGGTATCCCTGTATCAGCTTACCGGTGGTTGATCTTAAAAAGGTTGCCCCCACTCCAGAAACAACAAAGGGAAGCGAGCCAGTGGGTGTCTGCGGGTCTGGTTGGCTTTCCTTCGATTTTCTCCGAAGCACAGCCACAGAGACCTTTGCCATGTACTTGAAGTCTTGGCACGCGTAGAGAGCCGCCTCAGAGCAAGCCAAAAAGACTCGTCCGCTTTCAGGGGTCATTGACCTCCCTTGTGTTCTTCGTGGCTGTACTTGATCTCGCTGCCCATCACTACATCCTCAAATACTTGGACCTAATAGGGTGGGGAACTTGTGTTTTCTAGTTCAAAGGTCAGTGTCGAACCAGAGAGCAAGTGAATCTCAGTCCAGAAACCTTCTGACGTGCACTATATACCCCCTTTCTACACCACACAAGACATCCTCAGCGAGTACCAAGGGACCTCTGCGCACAATGGGCCATGGTCAACATATTTCTGAAATGGACGTTTAGTATTTTGCAAGTCTTCTGGTTCCAGCCGATTCTTTCGTGAGTCCCCTAATGTCCCTGCCAAATAGACCATATTTGTGCATGTGGCTTGTTTGTCCTAGGGTACAGTACCATTTTCAGGTTGGTATTTGACAAACGCCCAAAGGCCCAAAGAAGACCACGCCAACCTTTTCGGGGGTGGGGGGGGTGCCCCCATTTTGACCACGGGTTTTGGCACCAAGACCCGTCCCTCCGTCCCTCCGCCCCTCCATCTTCCCGTCCCTCAGAATTCTCCGCACCTTGGCCACGCTGAAGACGCAGGTGAACATGGCGGTGATGCCGAAGGTCACGAAGGTGCTGAAGATGGTGGTGTCGTACTTGCCCACTGGGCGAGGCGAAAGGGCGCAAGGATCCAAAGGGTCTGAGTGTTGATGGCATGGGCCGGGGAAGTGTCATTGCCTTTTTGAGGATGGCTGTTGTGGGGTCAAAACGGTTGATTGTATACTTTTGTGTGTATATATATATATATGTATGTATTGTTTTTGTGTGTTTGTTTGTTTTTTGGGGGGTGCTGGTGCTTGTTAACCCGGGGATTGCCTTGGTATCCTTTGAGTCGCTGGCTGGGGTGAAGAGTCAAAAGGGGTTTGCCTCAGAAGGTACCAAGGGACCCAGGCAACATGCGAAAAGCTTCGTAGTTTGTTGCCGCTTTAAAGGGAAACCGAGGAATACCCAACAGGCAAACGAATCCAAAGTGTGCGAATTCTGGCAATGGGCTCTTGCAACCAAACGCTTTGTGGCAAAAGCAAGGAATTATTTTGTCCAATAAGGTTTACAAGTTCTAACGTGGGCAGTCCATATTCAGTACGTGTCCCCAACTGACATGGACATTGGTTCATGGTAATTTGAAGTGTACCTCACGTCATCCCCTCGTAGATGACCCCCCAACTGCTGCTATGGCCATACTCGCTTCATCTCATTGAGGTCCCGAAACTCCAACGCGACGGATTTTGCGCTTTGGAGGTGGCCCGTGGACGCGGGAGATGGAGCTATCCCTCCGAATCGCCCGGAAACCCTGGGTACAGGGTGGACATGGGCAGTACTCCTGGTGTAAGACTCACTACGAACGAGTAAAGGGCAGGCACCGTTTACAATCATCACTTTTGACACTTACGCCTTGCGTTGCATATGACATTTCTTTGTTGGGGGGTCTGTTTCCTCTTGAATTGTCCACGCTCTCTTCGAACCAACTTGCCTCACCCTTCGCTCCGTGCGTGAGAGTAGACACGTGCGAGTTGAGCGGACTTCTTTCAGACATTTAGAGACTCGAGCGTGCCCACCACATTTGAGAGTCATGAAGATTCCATTCCAGGTACCCCAGAGCAAAGCTTCGACATGTTAGCCACCCGATATCTCGGGGTGTCCTTTTGGTTGTGCGATATCCGTTGGGGTGCCAAAGGAAGCCGCCCAGCTGGGATCCAAGTTTAGGACCCACACGTCTGGCTAAACGGGTAGGCATGTCCATTTCCTTAAGGAAGGGCACGCATCTCATTTGGGTGTGGGTCCTTCAAAATGGATTCCCTTTGAAATTCCCTTCAAAAAGGGGGCTCCCCAAAAAAATTGCCCAAAAAGAGCACCCTCATATCAAAACACACTCAGTTCAATCGGGTCGCGGGTGGTTTGACAGCTCATGCAGCCAGTGTCACAGATAGGTTCCATACAGGGGGTTTGCCTCTTAACTTGGTTGCTGTTGACCCCCCTGCAAAAAGTTTAACTTTTTGGGGGTTTAGTGGAAAACCCCTTGAATTCAACCAAAAAGTTAAAAAGTCTAAAGGTCCAACCCAATAGCAGTCCAGTTAAAGCCTTTCAGCCACAGCTTTGAGAGCTTTAGCACGGGCTCCCTTCTGCGCTATGTCAGGGTGGTCTTGGTATTTCTGGCGCAAAAAACACCCCAATCCACACCACCGGCCAAACCCAACGCCCGTCACCAGAGGACCCCGGCAACCCTCTGCGTAGAGGCCGGCATAGACACCAAGACCTCTGAGACAAGAGTCTCTCCACCTACGGATTTTTTGTTACCCTAGGGATGGCTTTTGGAAGGATAAACATGGGTGAAAAGTAGTGACAAACCTTCTCAAAGGTGCCAAGGGACCGTTGGGCACATGTATCCTTGGCAAAATCCGCCGCACTTTTGTACCCTGCCCCAAAAGACCACAGAAACGGCAAAACAATGCGACAGTGGCCAAACTTCAGAACATCGAACTTGCAATCAAAGGAAGCCAGAAACTGTTCAATGCAGGCCTCTTGCTTCCGCAACCAACCCCGTAGAACTTCAAAGCAAAGGCCCTGGTCCTTTGGCGCAAGCCTTTTCCGTTGCCAACCCCCCCGAATAAGCCACGCTCAAACTCACTTACTTGATATGCTACTCAGTTACTCATGCTTGAGTTCCCTTCTGACTTTGCTTGTTTCTTTTGTATGTTAGGAAGGCATTGTGCGAGGGCGAGGGCAATGCTTTTAGTGAGCGAAAATTGGTGGAACTATGCTGATGATGCTGACCCCGTCTCCAAAAGTACAACCTCAGTAGGTGTGAAGGGACCGATAGGGAACCCTCCCCGCTTTTTACATCCTGAGAACAGGATTCAATGATATAGTCCCCTTTCAACGCCACCCGCAAAAAAAAAGGGGACGATTGCATGGCCAGCAAGGTGATGCTCAAGCTGGCAAAAAGGGTGATTTAAAACTCATAATGACTCCTGGAGCTACCCAGCCGTCGTTTATGCATTTGTCCCATTGACCCAAAAGAAACCGTGGGACATGTACAAAGCGGAATCCGACTTGCAGGGCCCAAGGGGCTGAAGCGCAACCTCCCACTTGCTTCTGGTCGGAAGCAAGCCGTGCCGAATTAGTTAAGGCAAAAAACTCATGGCTGTGGATCAAATTTGTTGGCTAAAGAAAGGCAACTTCTGGAGCCACACAAGCCAGCCCGGGATACAATCGCCGATTCTTAGATCATGTACCGAGGCCTTCATTTCTCTCACAGTGCAAGGGTGAGGATTATTCGTGTACAACTCTCCAAGTTTGGGCGGCCTTTTTTGCCAGGGCATAGATTTGTCTATTTCCAGGGAGCCCTTTTTGGTGCCCTTTTTGGGGTCTTTGGACCATCGCAAAGATCGAAAGGCCGAGCAGCACTCCAGGGAGCTCGCAAACTCGCAGGCCTGACGCATCGAGCGAAAACTGGGATCTCCGCAAGCTCAAGGTTTGGACCGGTTGAGCTGCTGACCTTTGTCACTTTGTTTTTTTGGTGGTTTGGTGGTTTGGACCTGTGGGGATGCGTGTTTCCCCATTTAAGGTGTCAAAAGGAACTAGGGTTCAAATCCCCAAACCACCAATCAATACCGCCAATTGCGTGTTACCTGACTGTGGGCCAAGACCAAAAGGAAAACGGGGTCAAAAAAACGGAGTACCGAAAAGGCTGAAAGCCTACCCATTGAGCTGCAATGCTTGAACAGCTAAGTACGTCAGAAGCAAGTGATGGGCTCCCTCTCCTAACAACAGCATTCGCCCCTGCTGGTGTTCACCCATGGACTCAGGGACCACAAGGCCCCCTCCCGCCAAGGGTTGGGGCTACCAGGCCTCAACTCATGGTCGAACAAGGGACTGAAATGGTATCACGGAAAGTGGTGACCGAAAACAAACGATGTCCCACGTGTAACTGCAGTTCAAAGACCAACATCTAGTCCCTTGGCACCCTGCGGAAAGCAAGTCGAAATCCTTCAGGGCTGCTGTACCTTTGGGAAAAGCTTGGCGGAGCCTCTTCAGGCTTCACTTGACCAACCCCCCGCCCCTCCTCCCGTTGTCACCTTCCTAACAGCTCGTATCCCCGGCCTGGGCGGAATAGAAGGCTGCTAGGCTATTGATGTAAGGAAAGATGCTGAGAGCGGAGATGAGGCCCAGCAGGACCTAAGGCGAAATCCATATCGATAGGCTGCCTTGTGGTTGTTGAGCCCTGAGTGGTACCCTTTTCAGGGTTTAAAGCGAAGCCAAAACCCATGTGTTGTTTGTTTGGAGTTCCCGTACTTTGACTCTCACCCACATGGACGTTTGGATAGGCCTTTCCAGGCCCTATCCCCCTGAAACAAAACAGTGAAAGGTCATCGACAGGCACTTTGCCCCAAAACTCTTGTATTATGCGGGTAGTTGGGAAATTCCCTGTATACCGCAGCTGGATTCTTAGATCCATGCAAGGTTCATGGAGGAAAACTTGAGCATGACCCTCCTCAGCCTTCCTGCCAGGCCCAGTGCAAGCCCTGATTGAGCCATTGACGCTCTTTAGCTACATGTAACATCATTTACATGCGGACTTATAGATAAGTCCAACCATTGAGGACATTCCAAGTATTGAACTTCATAGCCGCATCCATTATCTTGACTTCGGACTAACAGGAAACAACTCCGGACACTTTGCGGACCATATCAATCAGGGCGAGTGAGGTCCCTCCCTGAAACGAATAACTTCCGCACACAAACGGTACCAAATTGCCTGCTGAACCCGACATCATCGTAAGCTTTGGGCCATTTTAGCTTCAGGAGGGTGGGGTCCGCCAATTCCATTTTTCTAGTTCACCACCAAAGGGGAAATGGAACTGCAAAAGGAATTCCAGGGGTCACCTCCCTTCCCCCATCATTCCAGGTTTAAAGGGGTGGTGATTCCAGTGGGGATATACCTCCACGGGAATCTCGCCGCAAGACCTTGGCGAAATTCTAAGCGCGGCTCGCTCAGGCCGATCATCACCTTCATCCTGAGCAAGCCGAAAGCGGAAAGTCACATAGTCGGCCAATGGTCTGGATGAACTCTAATCCACAAACTCAAAATAAGGGATCTCTGTGCTGATAATAATCACCTTGAAATGTCCTGCACTCTAAATAAAAGTGAAACTTGGAACCACACCACGCAAGGCGGTGCGAAACAAGAGAACACCGAAATTTAATTTCCTGCAGCAACTTGCTACGGTTGACCAAGCACGAAACCAATCGGACAAACGGGACATGTGATTCCGCCCACAAGTGCTCTATCACACAACGCTTCTGCAATTCATCAAACCAGGTCTGAAAGCCCCCTTTTCGGATTCCCATGAACTAGAAACTTACTCCGCGGTTTTTTCTTTTTGTTCTTTCTTTTTTAATTATGGGAATCGAGATCTGCCGCTGCAGATCTATTCCCAAAGCTAAAATGAGAACTGGATCGATCCCCAAGTACCGGGCCTTGGGTCCTTTGCCCCTTACCCCGTTACCCCCGGTTTCGGATGAGGTTGCGGGCTCGGGATCGTGTTTCGCCAGGCCACAGAAAGGCGAACTCCTCATGGGCTTGCCGTCCCACCTCAGCCGGGACTTGGGCACAGGTCGAAACAAACAAATTCATTACGGGGCCCCCGGGATGTTCAAAGCAGGTGCCTACCAGGGAGGTTTCAAGGGAAGGGGGTCGTTAAGTTCAGCCGCTTTGAGAATGCTTAAAGGGGTTCACAGGGGGTTTAACACCCCTCAGAAGGCAAGATACGCAAATCGGGTTTGGCTCAAAGTGTTCAAGAACATATAACTTAATGACCCCTATTTTGGCGTTTCAAGGGGGCCAATGCTCTGATTGAGTGATTTTGCTATATAGAACCGCAACCCATTTGGAAGAATGCAACCTTTTCGTCGCACAGATCCATGTATTCAATCTGGGTGCGAAGCGTCGCGCCTTTGACAAAAAGAGTCTCGTGTCAAGTGACCAACCACATTCAGGTTTGTCTTCAAATGTCGGCAGCTTTAAAGTCCGCTTCCTTTTGCTGAGCCAAGCTCTGCTCGCTTCTAGAGCAGAGTGTGTGACTTTTTGCGGGTATCCCTTTCAGCTTGGTTCAAAAGGAAGCCGGTCCCCGTATTTTTACATCTCCCCCACACATTTCTGGGTGATGCTTGGTGGAAAAATCGCGAGTCCGAGACGAATCACAGGAACGTCCCACAAACTTCCAGTCGATTTCCAGGCAAAACTGGACACTATTTTGCTTGGTTGATTTTGACGGGAACATGCATCCCAAAAGAGGGGAAATAGGATTCCTTTCGAGGTCTGGGGTCCTTGTTATGCATCACTCCGATTTTCAATGGCTGGTCAATGGCTGGTCAATGGCTGGGCAATGGCGTGAAAGCAATGGGCAAGAAACCAGGCCCGTAGCTGAACACCAGGCCAACTTGGGTTTGTGACGAAATTGGGGGATCCCGAAAAAGCTAGTGCTGCTTGTGGTTTCCCTTGAACAAAGGTGGATTCACCACCAGCCACGCCCCCAAAAATCCCCTCAACGGTTAGGGCCGCTTTGTACCTTATGTGGCCTTTCTCCGTTGACAACGCCCCTCCAACCTCCCCCCCTCCACTCCCCCAACCCTTCCAACCTCCAACAACTCGGCCCCCCAACCTACCCCCCACCCCGCCCCAACCCCAAACCCACCGCCCCCATGTGCGTGTCTCACAATAAGCCGAACCTCGCGGTGACCTTGACACCCCTCTGAGCTTGGGGCCAGGGCACCGCCTGGCACCACACAAAAACACCGCGAAAATTGTCCGCCGCCCATCGCCCGCCAAAACCTGCACAAAAAATCGGGGAGTAGTGCCCATGTTAGTGGATGAGGGGGAAGGGGGGGTTACAGGAGTCGCCATGAACCAAAAAAAAAAAGCGCATATGATGGATGAAGGTCCCCTGCAATTGCTTTCAGCAGGTAGAAGAGGGGTTAGCGTACCTCCGGACCCGTAGGAAGAAAAAAGCAAACAAGCTTAGCTACTGCTTGGGCCCAAAAAGAAGTTGTCTTCCCAAAGATCCTCGGAGAGTTTGAAGGCTTCGATTTGGAGGTTGTGGACAGATACTCACAGAGGTTGCAAGCTTTGGTGAAACCCTTCAAAGAACATTGCCTTCCAAAAGAGGCCTTCTCTTGCAATTCCATGATTGTTTGACGACTTCCGTCACAAGCAGCTCCCAGGGGCTTTGTTCAAGCATGGGAACCCAAGTATTGAGTGGCTGGACCAAAGGAACGCTCCGTCATGGAGATTTTATGTACAATGGCCAAGGCATGGCAACGTTTTTTCGGGACCCAAAAGCAGTGCGACGAAAACGACAGTTGAATCGCACGTGGATATCCAGCTCTTGATGTTAAACTCATCCAGAGGACATTGGAGGACCCTACTAGTCAGAGGAACCGACCGCCCGAAAAGAGGTAAGCTCCTCACTGAATGGGGACCACATAGGATTAGTACTCCTCCGGATTTATCCGGATAAATCGAAGCTAAACTTGAAGGATACCCTCTCCAAACGAGGAACAATCATGCAGCTAGTCCCTCCGAAAATATTGATTCCTGTCCAAGTAAAACCAGCATGTACACGCATGGGTGTATCTCATACTGATCATCCTCTAGCAACAAACGCTACTGTCTTACCTTCAAACAAAACCAACATGTGTCAAAGGGGGTCAACCACGCATGTGAAGAGCCCTTTCTCTTACAAATGCTAAACCCCAACTCTACCCTTTGCACCGGTGTTAAACCGCTGTTGAGCATCACCTCATGGCTTCTCCTAGCGTCTTTTTGGTTCTCGCTGAAACCCTTTGGTCTATGCAGTCTTGAAGAAAGGAGTCCCTTTCAGTCTCGTGGAAACCAATGCAGAATCGCACCACAAACTAAGAGGATCCCTCGCCACCTTTAAATAGGAACCACTGGCTGTCACCCCTTCAAGGGCCTTATGACCTTAAGGTTTCTACGTCGGGCGAAGCACGCGTGGAGCTTGTCGAGTCAAGGCCTGCCAGCCGCACCACGTAGCCCAGCCCCGCTGCGTAGGCGGTAAACTGTGGTAGCGCCGCGCCTCAGGCGCACGGCGTTCGTGGAAAGTCCTTTCCCATTCTTCTGGGCGACGCTTGATAATTGTTGAATCTGGAACAAAGATACAATATGTATATATCTATATATGTAATACTATGTAACCAAGATATTACCTGGTGATATGTTGAGGACACAAACCAATAGTGTGAGGTCGCTTCAGTTTGCCAAGCACCCCCCCCCCCCGGCAAAATGGACAGAGGGAACGCAAGGGAAGCCAAAAAGACCTGTGTGAGGTCCATTGTAAGGTTCAAGTAGTACTAGTAATCCCTAAAATCGCGTGCAAGCATCGGCAAATCAAACTTCTTGTGTATGTTAGGTAGCTTACGCGGAACAGCTGGGAAATCAAACAGACAGCATAGTGTGCATCCAGCAAAGCTTTGGAATTATGCTCTATGATCAATGTCAAATTGAACACTCTAGAATCGCCTTGTTTGTTCCGTTGGACATGGTTTATTATGGTCCACATACCCGGGTGCCCCTGTTTGAAAACTGGGGTGCCTTTTTGTTGGAAGACCTTTTCTACTAGTGGGGAATCGGGGAACCCATGCGAACCCCGACAACAAACAACAAAATGTATTTAGACAGTGCTACTAAACAACTGCACGGGCACAATTCGGGGTCAAAGCACCCCTCTTCCGGTGACACCAAGTACACCGCCCTGAAGTCAAGGGCCTATCATCCGTGAGGCGGTTCGTGCCACTGGTTCACCAAGTTATATGAACGGTTCATGCCGGGTAAGGTCGTTTCACCCCACCCCTGTGCCTCACGTGGTTCAGAGGCAAAAAGGTGAACCCATCCCCAACACACAAGCAGACAGGGTGGCCCGTTCAACAGCAACCAAAAAACAAGCCCTCTTTCTTTGCAAGGCCACTGAAGGTTTATCACTCAGTCGTCCAAAGCGAAGTGACCGGATCTGATTGTTTGGTTTGCCGATTTTGACTGATTTCAGGTCCCAAATGGATAGCCTCTATTTCCAGGTCCTCTAAAGCTGGGGAAGCCTGCCGGTTGAAGTGAAACCCCCTCCAGGTATCGACCCCAGCCTGCAGCGCTCAGCTGATACATGTCCTCGCTCGCGAGAATCCCCATGGGTGGTGTTACTCCTACGCCTAAGGGGAGGTAGTTTCACGCCGTTTAACCCTTCCAATAGCCCATGGGTACCGAAGGACTTCTGGGTTCTGTACTCGAAGGGGGTCATGACATTTCCCGCTCAAGCATTGAGCAAATTCAAGGAAACACCTGGAAATGGCAATGAACAACTGCAACTCTGCAAAAACAAATGAAAATTATGGATCCTTGCTTTGGTTGGTGCTTTCAAGGGAAACTGCAACGCTACCAACAATTTTCATCCGTCACCTTGCGAAGTGCTCCTTTGCCCTCAAGGGCAGAATGCCCAGCTGACTGCAGCGAAAAAAGGGTTTGCGGCTTTACCAAAATGATGAAGGACCCCAACAATCAAAACATCAGACTTCGAAAGCCGAACACCACTGCGCCACTGTTTGCAGTTCAGGAAACATGGCTGCACTTTCCAGCAGCAATCAATGGAAAGGTCCAAGCAACATCGCAGTAAGATGCTGGGGAAGTTGATAGAACCGCTCCAAAAAGGGCACCCTCAAAGCGAAGCCAGAATGAAGGCAAAACCGCTGAACCAACTGGACAAATGCACCCTGTTCAAATTCCCGTTACTGACATGGACGATACCCAAAACAACTGCTGGGTTGGGGATATAAAGTCCGGCCCTGAGTTGGGTTCTCCCAAGAAGTCACAAGCCTGTGCTTGGCTGTAGCAGACCTGAGTGGAACCGCCCTCCAGCAGAGCTGCATCCAAGCCATCCACAGGCACGTGGCCCGGTTGGAGGCTATGCAAACATGGCTCCTGTCCCAAGGCCCCCTTACCCTTTGATACTGTGGATGGACGAAATCCTGCACCGCTTTGAAACCAAGGGAGTCCACTGATTGTTGGTATTTGCAGGGGAATCATCATTCCAGGGTCTGTTAGATGGTGCAGGATTTCGTCCATCCACAGTAGGTGTTGGGAAGCAAAAACGGGTTCAAGCCGCTAGGCAGAAGGATTCACCATGCATCTTCTGCAATTGGGATACCGCTGCTTTAAGAAGACAGCCTGGGATTCAAACAACTTGCCTGCTTGTGACCTCCACCGATTCATTCGGTGACCAAGTAATAGCTCACCAGTTCACACCATGTAAAGAGCTTGTCGCTCGCAGGCTTGCACAGTCTGCCCAAACCGTCCAAAGTGGGCCATCTCGAATCCCAGGCTCGATTCCGAAATTCACTGGTCCTGCAACGACACGTACGCCGCCACAAAGACCGAGATGGTGCCGGCAGCCTGCGGATGCTCACTCGAGCCGCGAAACCGTTGTGGGTCAACAAGGCCAAGGTCCAACCAACGAGACCAGCCTGCAAATCCCCTGCAGATTTGCTTGCTAATCAGCACAGGAGTTCCTCTAAGTTGTTCTTGAGGTTCATGCGAAGCTGACGGCTTGGCAACTGCTGAAACACATGAACCCCTGTCAAACCCGCAAAAAGCCATCCTCGAAGGGCTACTTGGACCGTCCAGAACAGAAGCAACCCAACAAAAGGGGTCCCAACCAAAAACAGGTTCGTCAAATAATGATGGCACGATACCATCAATGACGGTTTATCGAGTTGCCGGGGTTCCGGTTGCGCATCACTCAACCAGCTCCTCAACGGTCTTGTAAGTAGAAGGAATTGCTTTCACTGCAAAGTGCTTTGAAAGGGGTAAATTACAGGCTTTTTGTTTGCTGACGTGCAACATTTAGGGCATCCGCAGTACGGGGAATCCAAGGTGGCCTGCTATCTGCGCAAAACAGGGGGCCGTGTAGTGTCCCTGTCTGGTCCTGCACCACAAGAAGATTCGTTGCCTAAGCACGGCGGTTCTTGGGATCTTTCATTCATCTGCAGAGACAGCGCAACGAGAGCCGGGAGCTTGGCAACAGGGTTGGGCCAAACTTGGCGAATTGAACAAGCGGCCCCGTCCGGCCTCCGAGAAACCGGGGTAGGAACAGCTTTGAACCCAAAGTGCCTCTAACAGAACCTGTTTGAATCAAGCCAGAGGTTTTGTGCGATCGTCGTTTCTTTGTTTTGCCAGCTTAAACAGGGGAGACTGCCAGTTGGGTATGGGTCAAAATTAAGCCACCAGGGGACCGCAGGTTTTAGTCCATGTGTCCATTTACCAGCGTTCCATTTTGGGTACATATTTTTGACCCACAGCCAGTTGACCCACTTGCCTGAAGCGCCAAGTCCAGCGTCATGGCAAGCAACCCATCCAGCAGAACGCCCTTGCGCGAGCGAGCCGAGCGAATGAAACGCAGCATCGGATAAGTCCAAGCAGCTAGCAGATTGGTTCCCCTAACTCAGGGTTGACGTTGGAAGGGAAGTTAAAAAAAGAGCAAGTAAGTGGGGATTTCCCACTAAACCACTAGCAAAAATGTAAAATGTTTCCCCAACAACAGCCATGTAACTCTGCTTCCCCCGGTTCACCTTGGAGACTGTAAGCACCTCTGACCCGTTTTGGCAACAAAACGGCGGGACCAAATGGCCCTAAGAACACAGAACACAAGACCCCAAGCGGGTCAAACAATTCGGCTAGAAACCTCCCAGGAAAATATCCTACCGGCCGCCAGAACAGATACTGAAAGAAAATCGAGGCAACCCGCCGTGTTGCATCTTTGCCCTGAACATCTTGAACTAAAGTAGGTGTCTCCGTCGTGGGCAATAAATAATCAGGATATGAACAAAGGGGCAGCTTTTCCAACTGGGGGTAGGGACGATTTTGTCTCAAACACCCTGGACAATTGATTGGCCATTATTCCACTGCAAGCCGAGATTTAAGTCCACACACCCAGTAGTCTTTGGAAACATTGGTTAGTGGTTCTGGGGCCTGGTTCCCCCCCCACATTTGTTCAGGGCTAAGGATCACAAAAGGATCCTTGTTTTATATGAGAAACCACTGAACTGGACTAGTACTAATTCTCACTGGACTTTGTCCGGGAAGTGATAGATTTTCTAGGGCTTTTGCTTCCGGCACCGAATGAAAGAATCCACCCGTTTGCTTTTGCTAGATGATAGAGATGGCTTCGTTGCTACTTTGTGCTTGTCTTTGACCTGTGGACATCAGCAATACATGGCGGTTGATTTGCACTGACCCATGTTTGAGTACGTTACAATCCATACAGCCAAAATTTGCACTGGGCTTGCATGCGAAGGCACCTAGGGACCCTCTTGGCAAACTGCGCCTAATATTTTTTGGGGTGGGTGGGTTGCTTGGTGCCATCAAAAAAACAACAAACGGAAGGAAGCAGCACATGTGCCCATGCCGCTCGCTCGCTTGCCCGCGCCTTCGTGCCGCCGGAAGCTTCCGCTTCCGCGCTCAGCGCCTCTCTGGCGCCGTTGGCCTCCACCGTGCGCGCCTCCCGAAGCTTTCGGCGAGGTGCCAGGCGCTCTAGGCCGGTGAGGCCAGGCTGATCCGCTGAGAAAGTGAACTTTTTGGCTAAAAGGCAAGAAGGAGACACGAAGGGCAACTGGCCATGGGTCAAAAGCCTGTACCCCCAGTGAACATCCCAATCCCCAATAAAATAGACTAAAATGGGTGGTAAACCTACCCAAAATGGTACCAGTACCATTGGTTTTGACCCACAGCCAAATGAGTTTCAATTGAGCAAAAGTGTGAGTTCAGTCTGGCAATGTATTTAGGGGTAGGTATCCCACCCTGCAATTATGATTGTACAAATGACGATGCTAGAGGTGTCTACTCCTGCACATATACTCTGATGATAATGATACCTCGTGAAGTTCCCCAAGCACATTACATACAAAAATGTAGAGATATGTATGCATACTCTAATATGGGTATGTTTGCTTTTGAGGGTATCCTGTTTGGTTGGATTCAAAGGGAAACCAAAAGGAAACCAACCATTTTTGGGGGGGTCCCCTAAGAACCATAAACTCTCACACATAAACATATGTTATATATATATATAGTAAAACATGGAGTGCAGTAGGAGCATCTACCTAAGCCCCAAACCGATTTCAGCATCGGTTGCGCCATCATAGCCTCCAGCAGAAGGCCGTACTTCTGCCGCAGAGGTCGGTGCACAGCGATGAAGAGGGCCAGGGACCCGCAAAAGACTGCCTCAAGTTGCCAGCTACCGACCCCACCAGGTCACTAGGTCACCCCCACACTCAACGTTTATTTGGCCGCCTTTGAAACTAATCCCTGGAAGGGGGTTTGTAGGGTCCCGGGGAATGTGGCATGCCCCACTTGAAACACGTCCATCAAACCAGTCCCTCAAACCCGCAACCCAGCACTCCAAAAAGTCGGGCCCTTTACCCCAAGTCCCGTCCGGCAAAGTCTTGCGTGTTTGCGCCAAAACCACCTAAATAAGGAAGGAGTCTCAGCATCAATCATTTGGATTCACAAAATTTGCATGTTAGGTTGCGCACGCCATCCCCAATTATATACCTCCAAGGCTTTCCAAGATTGCTCCCAGACATTCCTGCCACGGGTAGAACATCGGTTCCTGGTAGAGACAACCAATGTCTTCCTCGGCTTTTGACAGGAAACTGCAGAAACACCGCGCAATAATTTCCCCAGGCCTTTCCCAAGCGGAAGGGAAAGCTACAGCCGAGCGGCATTGGACACAAAGCCGGCCCAGCCTTAGCTCAGAAGCGACGAAACAATCTCGGTGTTGGCTATCCTTGGCTTGCCCAGACGCTTCCTTTGTTTGGCATTCCGTGATGTGGACAATCCTTGAGGTGGAACCTCCGATCAATCGGGGAAACCAAAGTCCGTGCCCGCGTGCGGAGTGGGCATGGAGCAAAACCCCAACCGTGCCATCATTGTCGGCATTTGTTAAGGGCTGCCCCTTCCCTTGCGGATTGGTTACCCTTGGTGTCAGTTGCGCTACCTTACAAAGGGGGGTCTTCAACGCTTCTCCAGAACGTTGACAACCCAGTGTCTCATTGCTGCGCCCGATCTCAGTGCCAGCCTTAAAAGAGCTAGTCTCCCATATCACTAACATGCAACCTAACATTTGTTCACTACCCCCTAGCCACTTTAGTGGCTGCATCGTTGCCTCCATTTCAACACGCAGTGCTCACAACTCCTCTGCACTTCGAGGATTAAGCGGAGGGTTCCTAGAAGAAAACATTCCTCGAGTACCCCTCCGGCATGTTCCATGTAAGGAGGTACGAGGGTATGCACCAGGCAAGGTCCGCACTGCTTTCTTTGCCATCTTCTTGCAAAAAACATGGAGGTGCACAGGCCACGCAGGCCTTTCCAAGAGGAGTGCAGTTTCCCAAACCCGTCTGTCAGCTCCATGGTGATTGAAAAGAGGGTCTTCAATCTTCCCACAAATTGTAAATGCATGGGCATAACTCAAACAGGACCCGAACAAGCCGGCGTCCTTCTGGCGTCCTCTTGAACCTGATTGTGGGAAACACCTAATTCAATTGTCCAACTCCTTTCTGATTTTCACATGTGTTGGCATGCTCGTGTTTGCAGTCAAGGTTGGTAGGATCCCTTCTTTGCCTTTTACATTCAAAAAAACAACAAGTGTTCATTCACGCTTAGGGAGGCCAGACATTTTACCGCAAAGGTCGTCTCAATGGATGCTCCTGACTCCTGTCGCAGCTTGTTAGGAATGCAAAAAACAGGTCTTGTTAATTCGATGTCTCAGTTCTTCTGAACGGACAGAGTCCCTTGAAAACTTCGCTCAAAAACCGGCCACTTGCAATCAAACTAAATTTGGAACAGGTGCGTCTTTCAAGAGGAGCATGTTGGCTTTGTCAACTACAGCAAAAAAACTTTCACGCACAATCCTTTCCGGGCTCTTGCAAAGTGGCCTCCCAGCTGGTCAACGTTCAACCCTAAACCTGGTTTTATGCTCAATCCATTTTCGTAAAAGAACAAGGGGTACGCCTACAATCGGATTATAGTTTTCCTAGGACAACCATTTTAGTTCAGGATGCGACTGTTGTCACCAACCGTTGGCCCCTAGCACTTGCCTGCTTTTCCAGCGATCTCTTGCCTCCTGAGACTCGACAAGCATCTTCGGCTGTGTCGCATGTGAGACGGCGCACCTCCGTGCTGCCAGTATCTGGTGCCTCGGGCTAAACAGATCTGACTCCTACTCTGCTAAATGCAAAGTGTTAGATTTTGCGATAGGGAAGCAGTCGTTGCTCAAAAAGCTAAGAGTCCATGTTGGTTTAATATCAAGGGGCAAGACTTCAAACACTGAGGGACTTCTGCTGATTGTAATCGTGCATGTTGAAGCTGCCCACGTGCACATCCTTTGAGCAATATGGCCTCCGCACATACCGCTGAGTACAAGAAGTCCGCTCGCTCGCTCATTTCGCGTAGAGGGTGTGCATCATGGTACAATTGATATCGTCTGGCCTCGGCTGGATGGTTTGTCTCCAAATCCTATAAAGGGTTTAAAATCTGAAGATGCAAGTACCTCGGGGCTCTCAATGGGTCAAAGTGCATCCTCGGACAGCACTTGAGCCCAATTCGGGGAATGGGGGAACCCCACAAATGGCGGCATGGCATGGCATTACATTTGAAACCAACCTCAAACGGGAAAGCTTCTACAGTTCCATATCCAAGCTGAGGCTGGTGATTCACAGCACAAAGCTGTACAGCTGCCGGTGCAAACAGCTGCTGATGCGAGTATGGCCCAAGGGGGCGAAAGCACAGGAGCAAGATTCAGGCCAAACAAGGCCAAACAATGCCTCAATAATGCCAAACAAGGCCTTTGGTACCAAGGCGCAGAAACGTCTAGCCCTTGTGGGGGTCGTTGGAAGGTTGTGGAATCCCTGAGAAAACACACTACACTCTTGCTGGTTCTCGAGAGGAATGAGGGTTCCCACCAACTTCGAAACTGATTCCCTACTGAGAACCGGCAACAAAAGCAAAAGCGAGGCAAAAGGAGCTGCCAACTAATCTGGCAATGCCCCGTTTGTTTTGTGTAAGTCTGTCCACGGGCCGGTGTCCGGTTTAAGGACCTTTCTTGTTTGATTCGTCCGCATTTGGACTGGGTTGTCACCCCCCAAGCAACAAAATCAAAAACGCCCTCAGCACACTTGGCAAACCCCCTACCAAAGCACAATTATCACTCTATAGCACATTCACTTTGTACGTGTGGCGCGGGTAGGGGTGGGGGGTGAACATCTTGTCAAGACAAAAAAGAGAGAGCTCAACTTCAAATGCCCCAAAAAGAAGCGCGAAAGTTGAATCTTCAACCATGAAAGTAGGGCTGGGCCCCGCCCATTCCATCCCCAAACCCCCAAACCCCCGCCTCCCCCCCGTTTCGGCGGGTGGCATGATGCCCTCCTCCAGCTTGCGGCGGCCGTGCTGCGCCACACCCAGCCTCGAGCCGCGTGCGGCGCGTGCGGCGCGTGCGGCGCGTGCGGCGCGTGCGCCGCGAGCCGCCGGCTACTCTCTTTTTGGGAGATCCCGTGGCTTAAAACGGGCAAGACGTACGGAAAGCCGTTGGGACGCATGGCAAAAAGGTGGGCTTATCATGAAAAGCGGAAAAAAAAACAGAGAGACAACACCCGGAGAAAGTTCATGTGCCGCATCTGCATCACCAGTCCGCGCAGCCTGCATCACTGACACCACCAGAATCAGCAACATGTTCTGCAACGGGCGCTTGTGCTTCAGCCTATTTAGATTCATGTGGCTTGATAAATTTGGCCCCAACAATATTCTACAACCCCTCAAACGTTTGAGGGGCCTTTTGGATGTATGTAATCCTTGACTGAGGTTTGTTTGGGGTTTCGTTTGCTGCTCCGGGTGAAAATCCTCAGAAATAAAGTCCTCCTACTTGTTTGTCCTAATTGAAATGGGTTGGTCCAACGGGCCCTGCAAAAAGGTGCCCGCGTGTTCATGCGTGTTTGTTCCACACAAGTCATATAAAGTCTCAAGGTCACCCGAAGGGCCATACCGCCCCTTGGCACCTCCGGTAGAGAGTCCACATGGGTCCCTTGGTAGAGTAGCAAGGGACCCAGGATCCTGGAGAGCAACCCCCAAGGCTCCTAGCAAAGGGTTGCTCTTCGACCTGATCAGGGTAGAAATTCAGTCGGTAAAGGGAGGTCAAAGGAGGTCATTCACCGGCCATGGGTCAAATTACCGTACCCCCAGTGAACATCCCAATCCCCACTAATATAGGTTCTAAAATGGGTGGTGCACCGAAAACCCCAAAATGGGATCACATTGGTGTTGACAACCACGGCCACTTGTCTGCCCTTTGGGCTTTGAGCATCGGCTCGGAGCATCCGAGCCGAAGTCCAGCGCTTCCGAGCGACGTCTCGATGGTGTCTTTCCATCCGTAGCGGTGTGAGGTGCAGTTCGGCTTTGCCTCAGAGTCCGGGCGAAGCAAAGAAGCGTGTCAAACGTTTAGCCTGCTGACCCCTTCAAGCTGATTCAAAAACCTGTTCGACCCTAGGTCCAAGCCTGACTGGCGCCTAAGGGTGGCGGAACATACCTCTTGTTCAAACTCCTTCGCTCAACTCACTTGATATTCAGTCTGTACCTGTTCGAATTTGGGTCCCTAAATGAATGCCACGCTCAATTTTCGGCGAGCGGCATACCGCTGCTGTGGGAGAAGCCTCAGGGCGAGAGACGCTTGGGAAGAAAAGAGCGAGAATCAAATGGACAAGCATTCAAAGTTGTTGTTCGGCCTAAACAAGGGTTCTACTGGGTATGCATAAATCAGTCAAGATCAGGGACACGGTTGGCTTTCTGTGGGTTCCCGTGCCAAAGGCAAACGCGCCAAAATCATCGATCTTACCACACCCTTAATGCCAGAAGGTCCTTGTTTTCTGTTGTTCCCTTGTGGCGAGCATGAGGGAGAGTGCTTCAAACGTATAAGCCTTGCAATGTTTAGAAAGCGGCGTATGGTCTCTCCCATCAGTCGTGGATCCTGGATATGTATCAAAGTAGAGATCTCACTTATTTCTTCAATTAGCCACACGCCTACCACCCTTCGACGATTCGAGCACTGATGCAAATGTGCAGACACCGCCTTTGCTTTCTTGGCACATGGCGGCATGTCAAACGGCTTCTGCTCATCAGGTCCCTTTGAACGTACATTTGGGCCCTAGGAGTAACACTTTCAATGAAGGTCCCTTTGCTTTCAACCAAGAAGAGAAAAGGGACAAAGAGAGGCCATCGCTCCCAGGCTCAAAGGTTACACGATTGCGCAACGTCGCGCCTCTTGCGGTGCATCAGGCGATGTCGGTCGTTGATGAACTCTATGTCCTGCAGAGTTCAAGGTTGCACGCTTACTTACTTTACGACAGGATCTGATTAAGCGTCATGATCCTTCCTCCCAGCAGTAAACTGGCAAACGCAATTGAGAATTGAAACAACACCAAAACGATGGGCGAGGATTCCGCTTGACACGTGCATGGTGTACCTGTTCAGCAGTGTGCGGGTTGAGCCCAAAGCTGTGTGCCATTTGCTCCCTTCGGTGCAGGGCTGTCGTTGTTTGGTTCACAACCCAAACATGACTGGAGTCAAAACAGAACGTTCCTTCCACTACATATGGAGCTGAGGTTCCCGTTCCAGTTAATGAAGGCTTGCAGTCATCTTCCAAGGGTTGAGCCTGCTCTTCCAAGCATGTTTATTTGTGGCAGAGCAACCACAAAGATGA